GGCCGGGCCGGGCGAGCCCCGCCAGTTCATCTGCAACGAGTGCGGCAAGAGCTTCTCGTGGTGGTCGGCGCTCACCATCCACCAGCGCATCCACACGGGCGAGCGGCCCTACGCGTGCCCGGAGTGCGGCCGCCGCTTCAGCCAGAAGCCCAACCTGACGCGGCACCGGCGCAACCACACGGGCGAGCGGCCCTACCTGTGCGCCGCGTGCGGCCGCGGCTTCAGCCAGAAGCAGCACCTGCTCAAGCACCAGCGCGTGCACCGGGGGGCCCTGGCGCCCACCCCCAGCGCCAAGGACCCGGCGCTTTAGTGCGCCTCGGACCCAAGCGGACTCGTGGGGGCGGGAGGGGATGTCTGTGGGGGTGCGCGTGGCCAGGAACGGTGGCTCCTACGACCCCAGGGGGTAAACCCCCGTCAAAAGGCGATTTCCTCCAGGCTCCGAAGGCTAGAGAACAGAATTCCAGTAGCAGCCCAAAGGGGGCAGGTAGAGGTCCCAGTGTGGGCTCAGGGAGGACGTGAGACGAAGCATCCCTCACTCAGGAGGCCGGATGTGTCCGTCTGTCCCTCGGAGGTGGGAGGGAGGTGGGGAATGGCCCAGGGCTGGACTGATTGTCCCATGCAGGCTGCCGGACGGCCAGAGGCCAGTCTAGTGCGGGCGGTTTTAACAGACGCGCTGGTATAGCAAGGACAGAAGCCAAGCAGTCGCGGCTGAGGAGGGTCAAGCACAGCCCCAATGTCAAGGGCAGTGCCTGGCACTTAATGGCCATTCAGTGCATATGTTTGGAAGGACTGAATGGCTCTGCGGTCCTTCTCAACCCTGAGTGCCCCAAAGCCCAGGGTGCTGCCACAGCGGGCTGGACGTTGGGACTGGTATGGGTGTGGTGGCCGGACTGGCACGAGAGGGGTGGGTGGCAGCTGAGGTTCAGTAGCTTGGGGAGGGGCCCACAGCAGGAAAAGAAGCCCTCGTGTGGCGCTCCCAGTGGCCGTCACTGACTTGGATCCTTCTCAATGTCAGTGTTGCAGAAGAGAAAAACATGAAGGATGGACTGTCTCACGTCGTCTCACTGTCCTTTGTAAGCTGCCCTTTCGGAACTCTAGGTCTGTGTGTGCTCTGAGGCATCCATTTGCCCCCAGGACCGGGACAGGGAGCTCGACCTTGAGCGTAGCAGCTCCCCGTGCCTGGTTCTGGCTGGGGGTGGGGGGCAGTACTCTCCTGCCCTCTCCAAGCCATTTGGTATCTTCCCACATGCCCTCCTCTACTTCTGGTCCCCAGGGGTCCCTTCCAAAACAAGGATGCGGGGCTCCAGGCTGGGCCTCTGGAGGGGAGGGTGGGTGTTGGGGCACTAGGGCTGGAGAGCTGGGAGGTGGGAGGAAAAAGAGGGGACCCTAGCATTCTGTAGGAGGACGGACTGTGCCTGCCTGTGTCCCAGGGGCCCGCCGGTTTCTCTGAACTCGAGGAAGTGCTACCTGTTTTCCAGGAGCTGCCGGATTTAGCCCGGCTTCTGGCCACCACGTTGTCAGGTCCTGTTGAATATCCCCTCACCCGGCAGGAGCTCTGATTATTGTAGCATCATGGGAAGACCTGTGGAGGCGACGGGGTTTACTTGGGTTAACGGGGGCACCGGTAACGGTCAGCGCTCAGCCGGGCTGCCCAACTGGTCCAGGTCTTCCATTGTGAACGCTGCTGTGTGGAATCTCCCACTGGGCGAGCTGGGCCCGGTTGTTGGCACGGATGTGAGAGTTGGGCTCTCAGCCCAGCAGGGTTCTTCTAGGCGCTAGGCGCTGCCCTACCTCCCTTGTAATGCCTGCCCCCTCCTGCAATTCCTGTCCCAGGCTGCCCTGCTCAGGGAGGCCAAGGGCCCGGGATCTCAGCAACACCTACTTGAAACACGGGGAGAGTTCGGGAGTCATCTGCTTCTTCCACTTTGCCACTCAGAAAATCCTGAGGCCAACTCCAGCAAAGCCCACCTCCTCCAGGAAGGCGTCCCGGAGTACCGTTCCTGCATTAGAAGGCTGCTGTCAGGAAGGACAGCAGCCTGTGAGACCCTGGAGCCCTGTCAAATCAGGTGCCTGAGGGGCAGTGCAGGCAGACGGTGAAGGCCTCAGTCAGATGGGAGTTTCTGTACAATAGAACGGGCCGTTGTCCACAAAGGCCTGTGTTTGATGGCCAAGTCAATCAAACAGCTGTGTTGCTAGGGGTTAACGAGGTCTAATTGCAGCTTTCTTCCCCGTGCACATTCATGAGGCTGTCCGTTCACTAACCCGAGGTGACCGGTCCTCACAAGTGAGTGCTTTGGGTCACAAGGGGGACAGGGTGCCATTAGAGCAGAGAGGTACTGCGATGCTTGCCCCATGGACCAGGTCAGGGGAGGGCAAACCGGTTCACTAAACAAGCCTACTGTGTGCCAGGCGCTGTGCCAAACTGGAGTGACGCTGTGGGCCACCACAACAGAGTGCCATGGGCCGGGGGCTGAAACAACGGACGTGTATTTGCTCACGGTCTGGAGGCTGGGAGTCCAAGATCAAGGGGCTGGCAGATTTAGTTCCTGGTGAGGGCCCGCTTCCTGGCTTGTAGACAACCACCTTCTCTCTGTGTCCTCACACGGTGGGGACAGGGGAGCGTCTCTTCCTTTTCTCACAAGGACGCTAATCTCGTCAGGAAGACCCCAGTCTCACAACCTCACTGAAACCCAACTGCCTCCCGAAGGACCTGTCTCTGAATGCCATCACCTGGGGGGCGGGTCAGGGCTTCGATATGTGAATTTGGAGGGGGACGCAATTCAGCCAATAGCAGTCAGGGCCCCTCTCCTTGAGGAGTTCATGAACCTTCGTGGAAAATCACTGATACACACGTAGCTCAGAACAATCTGTACGGCCAGCTCTTGAAGAGCAGCCCCCAGCCCCCTTACTAAAGCTTCCTTGTTCATCATGTCACTTAGCCTCACTGCGGGTCGGTGACCGTGGCAGGGCAGTGATCCGGGAAAGCGGGATGTTGCAGAGGGACTTGTCCGCCAGGTCGCGTTTCAAGTTACGAACTAAGGGCAGGTGCCAGGCCTCCTGTTAGCCAAGCCCCTTCCACTGTCCCGACCCCAGGCTTCTCCCAGGGTGGCCTGGATCGTCAATTTCCATATTCATCCCCGCTCATTTTGGAAGAATAAAACTAGGCCAGGGAATACTCAGGAAACGTCATGTCATAAAATCAGACAAGGAAGGAGGTCAGGTCTATCCTAGTGGCTTACACTCCCGAATACTCTAGAGCATGCGGAGAGAAAAGAGTTCCACGGGGGAACAGAAGACAACCACCAGCCAGTCAGGATCTTAAAAGACTACTGTCCACATCCAGGTAAGTGCAGGTCTGCGGCAGGGACCCCGCAGTCAAGCTTCCAACGGGCCAGATGAGCTTGGTGGAGCTGGGGTTTCTGGAAGTGCCTGCATCATCCTCGTGTTAGAAGCAGGCTGGGAGCTAAGAATAATGACCCCGGAGCTTGGAAAATGGTGGTTCTTTGGCAAGCAACATAAGCTCCCAGTCGGGAGTCAGCCGGCAGGGGGGCAGCCTCCTCAGGAGAGTTTGGCTTCCTGCTGCCCAGCCCCAGGGAGTTGCCCCAGGGAGAATAGGCTGGAAACCCTCTTAGCAGGTGCACCCACAGGGAGGCCGCGGGACCAGCAGGGACTTGGTAGCTCCTGGTGGGTGTGGGGGATGCTTCTGAGACCTTTTCCTTTTATCAAGTCGTCTGGCAAAACAAACAAAAAAATGACCTTTTGGCAAGAGGAGGAGTGTTGCGGCTGGAAACTGTGTTCTCACATGGCAGTGTTCTTACTGGATCGTGGCAGAGAAGAGAGAGAAACGAATGGTATCCTAGAGCTTGTCTTTTGGGTTCAAAAGACAGTGGTGTCTCCTAGGTTACTCAGATCTGGAAGGAGGGGTGCGCTATCCGGTAGAACTTCCTGTGATGATGAAAACATGCCATAGCTGTGCTGTCCGATACCCTAGCCACCAGCCACCTGTGGCTACTGGCTACTTAAAATGTGGCTTGTGAGGCTGAGAAGCAGAATTTAAAATGTTGTTTTATTTTAATTGATTTAAATGGCCACACGTGGCAGTTGGACAGTACAGTCCTAGGAGTAATGCTCCTCCCGAGAAGGGGTAGAAATGTTGTGTCTCTCTCCCTGCCACCGCGTAAATCTAGAAAGAGCTTTCCTTTGTTGTTGGGAGTAGTGGACAGAGTCAGAGAGTTCTGGGGCGGACTTCTGCCTTTCCCACGTATGCTATGGGACCCCGTGCAAATAGCCTGTGGGAGAGCATATAGTATAGTGCCTGGCACACAGCAAGCGCTCAATAAATAGCAGCTCCAGTCGTCACGTTGATAAACTCCATGTGTGGCTACCTGCACAGCATTTGTACAAGTGGACGTTTATTGTGGAAAGAGAAGAATGGGCTTTTCCCCAGAGCGCCATCCCGTAAGGAGGGAGTCGCCACCTGTGTTAAGTAGGCCAGCTGCAAGTTTAAGGGCTTGGCTGAGTTGATCATAGGTCACATCTTGGGTTTTAGTGTCAAGGAAAGAGAAACTTTGGGTGCAGGTGACACTGCGCACCCACAGCCCCCCATCTCTGAACGGGGGTCGGCGGGCTCTCCCAGCCCCCAATGCTGGGGCCGTAGCCTTCCCTGCAACCCCGCCCCCCCCCCCCAATTCCTTACAAGACATCAGCACACTGGCTAGCTGGAGGGGGGTGGGCATCTCTTCTCTCCACGCTCCCAGATGGAGCTTGCAGAACTACATTCATTCATTCAACAGAGATTGACTGAGGAGCTATTATATGCTGGGCGCTTGGGATGCAGAGATGCCAAAAACATGGTCCCTGCCCTTTGAGGCTCACAGCCCGGTGGGAACACAAAGGTGTGCTAAATCCCAACTGGAAGTCAGCACAAGGTGCTTTGGAAGGGGATGTTAGTGACCGCTGTCCAATTTGGGGGAGATGGGAGGAGCTAGTGAGGGGGGAAGTGGTTGCCCAGCTGAGCAGGAAAGCCCTGGGGACAGAGCCCAGAGCAGGAGAGCTGGAGGAAGGCCCCTCGGGTACTGCAGGAGCAAGCAGGGGGGTGATTGTCCACCTAGTAAGCCCCAGGCGAGTGGAAGGGCCCTGAGCAGGGCTCTACTCACAGCGGGGGGCCACAAGCCTGCGGGTCACTTTGGCTGTGAGCAGCCTAGGCCTTTGTTAGGGTCCAGTGTCCGGCTGTCACAAGAGCCTGGTGGAGCCGCGGTGATTGCCGTGCCGGCCACTAGCCCTGCCTGTGTAAAGAGGCATGGCTTCCTCTGCAAAATGTCTCCACATCTCCTTTCTATTGTGTTCGTCGCAGCACATGAGAATGGTGAGGGAGGGGTGTCTGTTGTGGGGGGGGGGTGGTTTGCATGTGTATGAAACCAGAGAAATGAGGTGACTCAGCAGAAATCACACGTTGGCAGAGCAGAGAGTGGAGGCCTCCGGGATCCCCTGGCCCTTGGCACTGACAAGGTGGGTGTTAGGTGGCATTGTCTCCCTCCTACGCCCATCCCCCCACCGTGTGCCTTTCCTGTCCTTTCCATTTTGGCACAGCTTACTTAGAAAGTGCTGCTAAAAATATGGGTGGCATCCTCAGGTATAGTGTTGTTGCTGCTTTTGAGAAACCTGGTCATTTACCAAGTGTCCCCATTTGTCCTGTAGCCTGCAGAAGAGATGAAAGCTGGTTGCTTTGGCAGGTGACAACTTTTGCAAAGGGAGCTGGAGAGCTGGGAGGTGTGGCTGTCCCCCCTCCCCCCCCCAGCCCCCAAGCAAAGCGCCAGCCCCTGGGTAGAGCGTGGGTATCAGTTATCAGTGGTTAAGGGGTCTTTTGTCAACGCCATGGGCACATCTATCCTGGTGGATTCATTTCTTTTGGCTTCCCAGAATTCCCTCCCTGTTGCTTCTATTTTAAATACCAACGTCCTTGGGATGTCTAACTCATGAAGTCCCGCATACTTCAGTGAGTTGCTACAAAAGCAGCACGGAGGGGGTGGGGTCGGGGTGGGTCCTCGAGAGGCTGAGGGTGGCGGGATGGACCTGCTGGGATGCACTCACTGGTCCACAGAGCGGGATGTGAAAGCAGGCAGGCCTGATCTTCAGGTGTGGTGTTGAGAATAAGGGATTGAGTTTATTTCCAGCCCCCCCCCCCCCCCCCGGAATTCTACGATTCCCAGGCTTTGAGGGTGGAGTGGCAGGGGCGACCTCACGGGGCTGGGAGGCCTGTGTCTCCCACAGCCCCTCCTCAGGGATGGCGCCACCCCAGCTGTCACATCCACCATCTGTTGTAAGGAGCTCTGCCCGGGCCCCAGCTGGCAGCTACCGGGGGTTACAGAGAAAAAGGCTACTTGATGTTCCTCTTAGCACTTTTAACTTAAAATCGCTTTCCCTTCCAGCCTCAGTGTCTTGATCTATGAGATGTGAATTCTGAGGCACTTTCTCACTCTGGACAAGATTATTTCCAATCACGATCATCACACCCTGTTTCTGTTTGGGGTTTGGTACCAGGGTGGTGCGGGGGACAGTGAGCTGGGTGGTGGCCCTGTCTTCCCATCTGGGCTCGGCCGCTTAGAGCGTTGGGTCTCCAGGGAAGCTCTCTGTATTTCAATTTTATTTTATTTTCCCATCTATAAAATAGGATAATGATACTTGTGTAACATACACGGCACGTGGTTATTGGAAGGCTCCCACGAGACAATAAATGGGAAAAGGCTTTGTAAAAAGAAAAGTAATGTATAGGTAAGCGGTATTATTATTGAAGGACAGTTGAAAGCTTCAATTCAGCCCAGGCCTGTCTAAAAGGGTGTGATACGTGGCTCTTTTATGGGATATCTTTTTTTTTAAATTTCTTTTTAATGTGTATTTATTTTTGAGAGAGAGAGAGAGAGAGAGAGAGAGAGAGAGAGAGAGAGAGAGAGAACAAGCAGGGGAGGAGCAGAGAGAGAGGGAGACACAGAATCTGAAACAGGCTCCAGGCTCTGAGCTGTCAGCACAGAGCCCGACGCGGGGCTCGAACTCAAAAACCGGGAGATGGTGACCTGAGTCGAAGCCGGAGGCTCAACCGACTGAGCCACCCAGGCTCCCCTATCTTTTTTTTTTTTTTTTTTTTTATGTTTATTCATTTTTGAGAGCATGCAAGCAAGGAGGGGCAGAGAGAGGGGAGCAGAGGAGCCCAGGCGGGGCTCTGCGCCGACAGCAGAGAGCCCAGTGTGGGGCTCCAACTCAGAACCGTGAGAGCATGACCTGAGCTGAAGTCCAGGCCCCTCCGGGATACCTTTTATGGGATATCTTTGGTCAGATCGGAATGAGACCAATTCTGAGGAGGTGGGGACAGTAGGGGTATCACTTCTTCCTTGCTGCCAGCCGTCCTGGTGGCATAAACCGGGCCACAGAGTAGGGGGAGGCTTTCGCAACCCCGTCAGCCGGGGCAGCTCTGATTCCGCCCCTTCGATGGCTGTCTCCCAGACACCCCGCGCAGAGAGGCTGCGCAGCAGGGGCTCCTGCCTTCACCCCCTGCTCTCTCTTGCAAGCAAAGGCTTAAACCGCCAGCGCCCCAGACCCTTCCGGCTTCCTGGGGGCAGATCGTGGGCCCGGCCTGGGTAGCGCTGTTTCGGGATGACGGAGATGGGGATGAGGCTCTTGCTGCTGGACTGGGGCCTCGGGGGGATCCGGCGATGGGAACGGCCGAGGCCGGGGGCGGGGAAGTTGGGGTGACCCGCCCGGCGGGGCTTCCGGCTCCCGAAGCGGCTCCCGTCGGCTTCCCTCTCCTGCCCGCGCGGGCGCAGCGCTCGCAGCCCTCCTTTTTCCGCCAGCCAGGTCGTTGGCGAGTTAGACCTCCCAGCCTCACGGGGCTGCTGTGCGGCTGCGGCGACGCTGGCGACTGCGGCGCTGCGGCGGAGACGGAGGGCTCGGGAGGCGGCGCCACGTGAGTCCCGGGCCGCCGGGGCTGGGGCCGCGGCGGGAGATTACCGTATTTATCGAGGCCAGTGCCGGACCCTTGGGGGCGGGTCACTGCGGGCGCGCTACCGTATTTGCCGGGAGCCGCGCAGAGCCTTTCCGGGAGCGGGGAGCGCCGCGACTTAATTGCGTATTTATCCAGGGTCGCGTGGTTCTCCCGGGGGGCGCCGCGGGAGCTGGGGGTGGGGGTGGGTCGCATCCGTGGCCCGAGGAGGCCGGGCCTTGCAGCGACGTGGGGTGGGTTGCGGCAGCAGGGTGGGAGGCCTACGTCTTTTCGTGGGGGCGAGGTTGCGACGCAGAGTTTCCCATATTTCTCCTGGGTCGCTCTGGCCCCGGGAGTCGGCCCGGTTGTGGGTGCGGAGGTCGGGTGGGTGGGGTCAGCTCTTTTGATTAATGCAGCAGTTTGATAAGGAGGCCGGTGCGGGAGGCTGGCCGTCTTTATGGGGGCGAGGGAGAAGGGGCGCGGGAGTCGCTGCGGGAGAGTTACCGTATTTGCGCTGGGCAGCGCAGACTCTAGAGGAGAGAGCCACTGCTGGAGACCGGAGGAGCAGGGGCGCAGCCTGGGCTGTGAGTGCGGGAGGGGATGGAGGAACTTGGGGGAGAAGAGGGGGCCGTGGCTTTAGACCCTCTCCGTAGTGGGGTCCTTGGTGGGAGATACATGCCGGGGAGAGCGAGGAGGCTGTCCAGGGACAAGGCCAGGCTGAGATTGGCCGAGGGGACCGTGATGGTCTGTCTTTGCAAATGTCAGTGCAGCTGGCGGGCTGAGAGCCTCGTGGGTGGGGTCCAATGCAAGTAGTACTGGTCCCCTTCTCCAGGGTGGGTGTGTGTTCCACCCTGGCCTCAGGGTAGGGGGAGAAAGAAGGGGGATCTCTGAGACCCCACTCTGCAGATAGATCGACTGAGGTTGTAGTGAACAGTGAGATCTGGAAGTGTAGAGAAGGCCTGCATGGAGGTCTAGGTCCCTGATGGGGGTGGAGGACCGCAGGGGAGTGCCGGCTCAGCCTGCTCTGGGGCAGGCCTCAGTGCTCTGCAGGAACAGGAGCCCTAGGCTTTTATTGGGGGGGGGGGGGGGGGCGTGGGAGGAGTGGTTGCAGACAGGGTTGTACAGGAGCAGTGGCCCTTTGGGTGATCTAGAACTCTGCAGTGGTCAGGATAGTGGTGGTCTTGTACATGCGTGTGTATTTTGAGGGGAGTTTAGCTGGTGACCAGCTGGCACATTGAGAAGAGCTTTTGACAGTGAGTCAGGAAACTTAGGGCCTAGTCCGAGCTCACCTTGTGCGACCTTGGGCAAGTAAGGTGACCTCACTGTGCCTCCGTTACCCGGTCTATAAAGTAGGGCTCAATAAGCCCTGTTCCTTCCTTGGGGTTGCTGTGAGGACAGTGGGAAACAATTTAAGAGACCACGGTGCTATGGGGAAGAGAATCCTTAGAACCAGCATGAATGGAATGGAGCCGAACTTGGGGGTGTTTGCTGAGCCTCGGGGTCAGGCTTCCGTGTCTTGGGGATGCTAAGAGGAATCAAGCTGAGACCAGCACCGCCCCTCCCCCGGCCCCCCAGGGAAGGTCACCCTCCCTTTCAGTGATTTGCAAACCTTTTGCAGGCATGCCACATTTTGATAAACAAAGAGCTGCTGCCTTTAATGTTTAATTGAGATTACTTTCAAGTGTACAGGGTTTTTGTTTTGTTTCTTCTTTTACGCTTTTCAAAAATATCTGTGAGCCACCGGTGACCCCATCCCTCCCTCCAGATTGGGGATGCACCTACCTATCCCCTCCCTCCTTGAGATGCTGGTTGGAGAGATAAGACATATGCAGGTGCTAAGTTGTAAGACTAGAAGCCCCTGGATATCACCCGTTGGCATTTATTCAGTACTTTGTGTGGCAGGTTGGGTGCTTGCTGTTGGGGATAAAAGAAGGAGGCGGCTCTGTCCTTAAGGCATCACCGGGCCAGGGCTTTGTGATGACTGAGGGTCATAAGGTTGGGCCGTAGGGCTCAGGAGGGGCTGGAGGGGTCAGGGAAAGGTTCTAGCAGGAGGTGAACTTGAGAAAGGCCTTAAGGAGGGGCAGGGTGTGATTAAAGGGTAGAGGAGAAAGAAGGGCTTTCCAGCAGGGGAACGCTGGCCTGAACAACACTGTAGAGGGGTGGCTGCTGAAGTTGTGGGAAGCCAGTTCAAGGTCCAGTGTCCCTGAGGTTGGGGGCCGGCTGATCCTTGGATCCCCCCACCCCTGACTCCTCTCTCTGCTTCTGCCTCCCCAGGGACTGGTGACTGCGGCTGGAAGTGCCCATGACAGAGCTGGCGTCCTCGGGGGGCGGGTCCCCTGCGGGGGACGGGGAGGAGGGTCTGGGGGACGAGCGAGGCCTGGTCATCCACCACCCCGCGGAGGAGCAGCCTCACCGCTGCCCACTGTGCGGCCAGACCTTCTCGCAGCAGCCCAGCCTGGTGCGCCACCAGAAGGCACACGCTGGGGTGGGCCGCGCGGCCGCCTTCGTGTGCCCCGAGTGCGGCAAGGCCTTCAGCGTCAAGCACAACCTGGAGGTGCACCAGCGCACGCACACCGGCGAGAGGCCCTTCCCCTGCCCGGAGTGTGGCCGCTGCTTCAGCCTCAAGCAGAACCTGCTCACGCACCAGCGCATCCACAGCGGCGAGAAGCCGCACCAGTGCGCGCAGTGCGGCCGCTGCTTCCGCGAGCCGCGCTTCCTGCTCAACCACCAGCGCACCCACGCGCGCATGCCCGCACCGCACCCGCGCCGCCCCGGCGTGTTCGGGGAGCGGCGGCCCTACTTCTGTGCCCGCTGCGGCAAGAGCTTCGCGCGCGAGGGCTCGCTCAAGACCCACCAGCGCAGCCACGGCCACGGGCCCGAGGGCCAGGCGGCCCATTTAGGCCGCGTGCTATGATGCGCGCCAGGCCTGCCGCCGCCGGTTTCCTGCCCCAGAGCCGCGTCCGTGACTCCAGGAGATGGCGCTGGGCTGCGGCCCCCGTTCTGGATTTGATCCTGAGAGACGGGGAGGGCTGGCTTGGGGTCTTGAAGGAGTGGGCCGCTGCCCCGCTTGGGCCGCCTCTTTCCGAGTCTTCACCCTACCGCTGGTCGTCCACAGCTGCTTTAGGCCCCTGCATTGGTTTTCCTCCTCTGGCTCACCCGGCCTAGAGTAGGTGAGACCTAAGGTTTGGCCCGGTCCCCTCTCAGGCCTGGGCAGGGGTTGGGGTCAGGGGCAGGCAGGGAAGGTGGGGTGAACTGGGCTCTGGGTGTATGACAAGCTTCTTACTAGATCTTCTTTCCCAGAATGTCAGAGTTGAAAGTCACCTGGAGAGGGCTGCTCTCCACAGTCCCCAGACCCACCCACCCCCTACCCCCTCCACACCCAAGGTCTCCTGACTCCAACACTTACTATCTGGTGTACTTGAGAAATCATTGCACTTTATGACTCAGTTTGTTCATCTGTTTAAGTTGTGTTTAAGAGGGACTTCTCCCTGGGATATTGTGAGGATTGTAGTCAATATTACTAGATAAAAGAGGGTGACAGCGCTGGTCTGGAAACATTTATTGAGCACCCCAGTGTGCCACGCACAGTGCTGTGCTCTTGGGAGGAGGCACTGACACAAAGCCTTGTCATCTGAGGGGTGACACTTGGTACACACACAGGTGATGCAGGCTATCCTAGTGGACAAACTATAACGTATTCTGGGAGGTGGGGGAGGTGATTGGTGTCACCCAAAGTGTTTGATGGCTTGAACTGGGTCCGGGGGATGAATAGAGGTTCTCTAGGGAGAGCAAGGGGGTGTGGGGTTTCTGAGGTGGGGGTCAGATAGAGGAGGCCCATATGTGCCCTACAAAGGACTTTGTGGCCATAAAGAGAGGACACCAAGATGTTTAATGGGAAGAGCGTGGTGATCTCAGACATATGGTTCAAGGGGTAATGCACGCACTGTGAGGACAGGTCAAAGTGGGGTGAGCAGGAGGCTCCAGCATTGTGGGGTCATCTGGGCAAGAGAAAATGAGGCCCCTAGCTAAGAGGCTTGACCAAGGGGGAGAGCCAGGACTGTCTCCCAGGCTCCTGATTCCAAGTTGGTGCTCTGAAGCAGAGGCTTCTTCAGCCATTTGGCAGGTGAACAAACAGGCTCACCCAAGCTTGCCCCAAATCTCACTTAGTACTCACTTAGTACTTAGTACTGTGGTGTCACAGTGCAAGCCTGGCCCCCAAGACCCTTCATCTCTATTTCACTGCCCACAAGAGAAGCTCTTACTGGCGGGAAAATGGAGTGTGGAGGTTGTGGGGATGTGACAAGATCCCACGTGGTAGGATCCTGGGCAGGGGCGCCCCTGGGTGCCCGAGGGGGTCTTGGAATCCACAGTAGCAGGTTGGGAGGAAGGGAGCTGGGGGCGTCGGAGGGGACCTGCACTCACAGAGCCCTTGCTCTGTGCCCAGCCTTTGCCACCACCTTGCTAGGTGCTGGAGACCTGTCCCTGCCCTCTGCCCTTCCTTAGAGTTTGTGGCTCCTTGGACATCAGTGGCCCTCGGCCTGCCACCAGGTGGCTGCTGCAGTGTGGACTAGTATTTGGTGGCAGAGATGAAGAGATTAATCTGGGACCTGGGACATCTGGAGCCCACATGCCCTAACCCCAAGTTGTCTCAGGGGTTCATGGGATTGATAATCCTGGAGTGCTCTGTAGGGGGCTAAAAGGACTGGCTGAAAGCCTTGGACAAGTGCAGGGTGGCCCCACAGACTCCTCCCGCCTAGCCCCAGAGAGGTGACTGAGGGGTGGCTGGGCAGGGCCGTGTCAGAGCCCCAGACCTGACCCTCGTCTCTTTGTCTCCATGAACAGATGTGGAGTGGGCAGGACCTCTGGGCAGTGTGTGAGGCACATCTGGGCACAGAGTCTAGGAATGGGGCCCTCTGGGGCCCTGCCCACCGGCATGAGGACATGTCCCCTAAGAAGACCTACCTCGGGAGGTGCCCTGCAGAGGGGACTGATGCAGCCTGGAATTGGAGGCCGGTTCTGTGCCCCGGTGGAAAAACTCCCCGAACCAGTTGGGAGTCATGGCCAGAGAAGAGCTCGTCCTGGCTGCCTGGCCACAGACTTCCACTCTCATGTGGCAGCAGGGACAGTGCCTGTGTGGAGAGCCAGCTTCTCTGCGCCTGCCTGGCCCATCAGAGACAGCAAGTAACTGGCCCAGGAGAACACAGCAAAGTCAGCAGGAGGCCTGGCTCTAGAGGCGAAGCCTTTCCCCCAGGTGTGAACCATACTTGCAAGGCTCCACTTTCCTTTCAGAGCAATGGTTCTTAAGACTTTGGGGGTGTGAAACCCTTGGGAAATCTAGCAAACGCTATGAACCTCCTCCCCAGGAAAACGCGCATACTCACGGAGACGGAGACACGAGAATCTACAAACAATGCCAGAGCTCCTGGACTCCTGGCTGAGAATCTCAGCCCCAGGACAGAACCTGCCACGCTTTCCTTACCTACGACAGATCCCTGGGTCGGGCCGCCCCACAAGTAGCATTTCTCCCTCCCCCTGCTGAACTTCCTTCCCTCACTCAGGAATAAAGAATTCTGAGGAGGGGACCCTTTTAGTCGCTCTCCTCCCAGGCCTCACGGGGCCTCAGGCTCCTGGAACCTCTCTTCCCTTCCACAGACATTGCTGGAGGCTCTCTGGGCTGGGTTTGCTCTTCTCTGATTTGGGGTGCTTGCTCTGGCTGTTGGGTTTCACCATGCCCAGGATCCCTGGCCCGGGCTCTGTCTGATCTCACCGTGAAAGTGGTGGGGAAAGCAGGGAGCTCCATGGTGTAGGCTGTGCGTGCCCTTGGGTCCACCCGGGGGGAGGGATCCTGCTTCCCAGCAGCCAAGCCTGTGCCACACCAGGTGTTTAGCCAGGACTGATGTGGGGAAGGCTGAGGGGGGAGACGGAGCTTGGCTCCTGGTGCCCGCCAGCTCTGGGGCCGAGGAGCTTTCCCGAGGTCCGTGCGTGGATGTGGAGGGGCAGAGGCTGGACCACCAGCAGGGAGAGGACTTCTGTTTCCACCCTGAGCGGGTTGGCCTGGAGCTCACTGGCCTCCCCAGAACGAACCACTCATCTGAAGAGGTGTGGCCGATTAGGGCTGGGCTGGGGTTTCGATGACCTCCAGATGCAGGTTCTACTTAGTGAAACCCTTGGGGGTGGGGAGAGGCCTGGAGCCATGGATTTAGATCAAATCCCAGCAATGGGAGTTGTGGGGGGCGCTGTGGAGCGTTCTGGTGGGAGGTCCTAGGGCCCAGCTGGGCTTTGGTCAGGGTTGTCTGGAGGCCCCCCTCCCCAGCTCCTGCCCTGGGATCTTGCCTGTCCCGTCTCCCTTGCAGCCTGCTGCAAATCTGCCGTAGGCCTCGTCCTGGAATAACAAACCGTGCTGGGGGAGATCAGAGAAACAGGAGGCGTTCTGCACTCCAGAAGCTTCCATTTGCTCTGATCCTTGGCCTGCCTGGAGGGAGCCTCAGGGAGGGAGCCTCCCTGCCGATCTCAGCTCACCTCCCTCCAGTCTAACCACGCAGCCCTCATGCGCTGTTGAAGCCTCTGCCTTCCCTGCCTCTGCCTTCCCTGGTATTGCTGTGAAATGCGCCCCTCCCCCGTCCTCCCCAAACCCACTTCTCCACCAGGACCTCCATCCTCTTTCTCTGAACGGTCCCTGTGTTAACACCGTCTCACCCTCGGGGGCACATGCCGCCTTGCACTCTGGCTTTCCATGCGTGTGCACGTGCGTATGTATGTGTGTGTGTGTGTGTGTGTGTGTGTTGAGTCTCCAGCTAGACTGTATGCTCCCTGAGGGCAAGGGACGTGCCATTTCCTCTTGAACCCCAACAGGGTCCAGCACAGGGCTGGGCTCATAACACTCAGGAAATACTTGTCTACTGGCTGATGGGTCAAGTGCTGGAGGCTGGAGGGTGGCTGGTGGTGGGAGGAGGTGGCGGGTGAGTTCACACGTGGGTTGTGTGTTCGTTTCACTGGGCTGTGAGCTGGCTCCCCTGGGGCACTAATGACTGTAGGAGACCTCAGGTCCTCCCCTACTTGGGCCAGTGGGACAGGAGGGATGCCCCCATGGCTACGCGGGAGTGCGTGTCAACGGTTGTCCAGGCTGGATATTTCCGTCGGTCACCGATAGCTGCCGGAGCTGACCAAGTGGAATAAATGTTCTCTCGACATCAGCTGGCTTGAGCAGTGGTCATTTGGGGCTCCGCCGGGAGCAGGGCGAAGGGCTCTATCTCTGCGCCCCTCGTGTCTCGAGGAGCTGTGTGCTATGGTTTGTCAAAGGTTATAGCAAGCAGAGCTCAAAACCACAGCAGTGAATAGTTTAGCTCCCCCCTCCCCTGCAATCTGGATGATGACTGCTATTTGGATTTGGGTAACGGATATTGGGGCCCCTTCAAGCAGCCTCGACTGTTTGCTCAGCTGAGAGTGAGTCCAGACCTGCTGAGAGCCTGCGCGGTGATCCCCATCACCTGGGGGCCTTGGCCAGCCACGTGTCTTTCCTGAGCTTAGTCTGCTTAGCTGTGACAGTCCTGTTGTTGCCAAAGCGCCGGCCCTGATCACAGCCCAGGCTCTCCCCAGCACCTTCTTTCTGTGTCCTCCTCTTCGTGACAGATTTGGGGCCGCATTGATGGCGTCTATCAGCCAAGGGAGGTCCTGAGTGCCAGTAACTCAAGGACGGGACCCGTGGAACCTGGGTTTGTTGGGGGTGGATCCGGCAGGACTCTTGTTGGACTCAAATTGACTAATGCCTACATGGGGAACTGCGGACTCAGGGGACAGAAATGCAGTGACTTGAGGGTGATAGTCGGGACCCAGCCTGTCCTGGGCTCTGCCCTCCCTCCTGGGGGCTGCCTCCCCAGCTCGCACCCAGGCTGGGAAGAAGCCCTCTGTCGGCCGAGGCCAGGTTTCTCCCCCAAAGGTCTGAACCAGTTGCAGGGCTGATGGGGCGGCAGAGGGCAGAGATCTGAATGGCCAGGCCCCGGGGCACACAGTGCCGCAGAGGGGTCAGCCCCCCTGGAGCCCGGGTCTGTGGGCAGGTGAAGGAGTGGTTGGTTCACCAGAGGACAACCAGACGGAGAGGCGGTGAGTGGGTTCCAGGTGGGCAGACCGACACCCTGTTACTGACCGGTGACATTGAGTCACCTGGGGGCTTGTTATGAATGCAAAATCGCAGCCCTGCTCCAGAATCTGAGAAACTGCATTTCAGTAGGATCCCCAGGCAGTTGCGTGTGTAGACACAGGTGCCCTGCACTGACACTTGCCCGCCTCTCTGAGGTGGGCCTCTGACTCAGACATGCCATCAACCCTCTGTCAAAAGGAAGAGACTGAGGGGCGCAGGGGAGGCTTAGTCGGTTACATGTCCGACTCTTGGTTTCGGCTCAGGTCGTGATCTCACGGTGTGTGAGTTCGAGTCCTGTGTTGGGCTCTGTGCTGACAGCTGCAGAGCCTGCTTGGGATTCTCTCTCCCTCTCTCTCTGCCCCTCACCCACTTGCTCTCTACCTCTCTCTCAAAATAAACTTTTTTTTTTTTTTTTTAAGAGGAGATTGAGACGTGGCATACCTCTGAGGCAGGCTTGTGGGTGTGGAGGCAAGATGCTGTCTCCACCAGGGTCCAGGGCCCCTGCCCGACCGCCCCCACCACGTGTGAGGCCTGGCGTGCACACCAGCAGCAAGCACCTATGCTGACCTGGCCTGCCCAACCTGGCTTTATGCGAATGTTTTGGCAGGAGAGAAAGGCCCAGAAAGTGGCCAGTCCTGGGTGAGGAAGCAGGTGGTTCACCCAGAGCGATTCCTCTACCTGGTCTGTATACCGCTCCCCATCTTCCCTCTCCCTCCATACGAGCCCCTTCCAAACGTGGCAAGGCCTCAATTTCCTTTTTGTAATGATGCCCAAGTGAGAGGACGTCTGCCCCGGGTGCGGCTGGTGCCATTTCAGATCCCCTTTCCAAGCTCTTGTGAGTGTGGGTGGCTAGTGGTTCATAGCTGGGTCGCCTGTAGGGCTGCCCCTCGCCAACCCCCACAGGGGGGCCAACTCTGAAGTGTAGTCCTGAGGGATCCGATGATGCTAGTTTCCAGCTGAGACCACATCACTGGCTCTTCTCCCCACCCAATCCTGCTTCCCACTCCCCTTTCTTCAGAGAGCACTTCGCAATAACACCTGTTCCCCTTGGATGGAATCCTTGCCTCAGGCTCTGCTTCTAGGGACCCGGGCCTAAGGAGATGTCTCTGGGGAATACAGGTTCAAAGCACCTTGCACACGCAAGAGACCACGACCAGTATCTTTATTCACTTCTGGGCGGTGCTGGTTACCTGTAGGTTTCCAGCAAAGAATTGTCAGTAGATTAACAGATTGGGGTGGCCATCTCCTTTGTGAGGGGCCAGGCCCGAGCCTTAAGCGCTGGTGTAACATCTCCTCACCAGCTGCTCTGAGGCCCCTCTCAACTGGAGACAAGGCAGAAGAATCTAGATCAAGGGTCAAGGGTTGGGGTCTAGGATAGCCCCATGGCTTTGGCCAGGATCCTTACCATTTTGAACCGCAGTTTTCTGATCCACGAAAAGAAGAGTGTGGAGTATCCACCCCCTGATGTTTCTTTTAGGGGTGAGATTCTATAGTTGGTTCCTGACTGCTCGTGTGGGCTCTATTGGGTTGCAAAGAGCAGAGACACTCTGTGTGGCAAGGCCTCATGAGATGCAAGGGGGCCCATGCACTGCCATGCCCCCCCAGGAGGGCATTCCTCTCCTTGGTCCCCACACTGTTCCTGGGACTCAGCCCTGCTCCTTCCTGTGGCTGCTCTCACCCTCTACCCTCTAGCAGATGCTTGTGGAATGAGATACTAATTTTGTTTTGTCTTTAGGCGACACCACTTGCTGCATTTTCTAGCAGCAGAGACAGAAAGACACCTTGGAGCAGACCTTTGTTTCTGGAAGGCCATCGGTTAAGCTCATGTCAAACAATTTCCCACTGCTAGTCTCAAACCAGCCTTGGACTTGGGCACAGACGCTTCAGGACAGCACATTAGCTGCTGTGTTTAACAGTAATCATCTTAATGGTTTTTTTTTTAATTTATTTTGAGAGAGAAGGAAAGAGAGAGAGAGAAAGGGGACATGGGTGGGGAGGGGCAGAGAGAGAGGGAGAGAGAGAATCCCAAGCAGGCTCCACGCTGTCAGCACAGAGCCTGATATAGGGCTCGAACTCATGAACTGTGAGATCATGATCTGAGCTGAAATTAAGGGTCAGAGGCTTAACCAACAGAGCCACCCAGGCGCCCCGATAGTAATCATTTAAAAAAATCTGCTGTTGGGGCTCCCGGGGGGCTCCATTGGTTAAGAATCCACTTCGGCTTAGGTCATGATCTGGCGGTCTGTGAGTTCGAGCTCCGCGTCGGGCTCTGTGCTGGCAGCTCAGAGCCTGGAGTCCGCTTCGGATTCTGTGTCTCCCTCCCTCTCTGCCCCTCCCCTGCTCACACTCTGTCTCTCAAAAATGAATAAACTTTAAAAAAAAAATTAAAAAGGCTGTTGTTAGGCAGAGCCCCTGGGGATAGGTGCCTCTCAAGTGTGGAAAGGATCCGAAATTCTTTCATTCGGGAGGGGCTGAGCTGGTCCCTCTTCTGGGATGTGGAAACCTGCTAGGGACAAGGAGTTGTCCCCAGACGTTAGGTTTAAAGAGTGTGGATCCAAGAGAGACTTTGTTTGTGGGAGCAGCGTGCCCTGTGTCCAGGTGTGGGGCCAGAGGGGCTCTGGAGAAGGGTGGCACAGGGGGGTGCACGCGGGGGTGCTGAGAGGTGACAGGAACACTGGTGGAGGGCGGGGCAGGCAGGCGCCTCCACATGTGAACACTCCCAGAAAATTACCGAGTGTATGTGTGGCGTGGGGTTCCTGGGGGAAGAACGGATCGTCCGGAGTTCTCGGGATCGGGGAGGGCTCAGTCTCGACTTGAACATACAAAGCGTATGGCGGGCTGGTGAAGGGGGACACACTGGCCATCTTTGCCGCCTCCTGTCCTGTGTTCGCTGTGGCGCCTGTGGTCTTGTCGCTAATGCCGCTTTCTGCCACTGCCCTCGGCTTCCTCACCACCACCACTCTGTCTTTCTTGGTCTCACATGCAGAGTCCCCAGGGTGGATTTTGGTGTGATTGGTCACCATCCCTTTAGGGAGGCCCTGGGACACAGTCCATTCTTCCAGCATTGATGTTGCCAGTGAGCCTTGGTACAGGTGCACGCTGGATCCAATAGATACCGCCAGGGTGTAGGTCCTGGGGGCTTCTGAGGGAATGCCCGAACTCGTGTCCCCAGATGGGGGTGAAGTGACAGGCAATAGGGCTGTCTCTCTGGTCCGGCCAGTACTCTGCTTCCCCCCCCACCCCGTAACTTTTACTGGGCAAATCCCTCACCTGGCAGATTGATCCAAATGCCTCGTGTCCTTTTTTATACCGTTTTCTTAAGATTTAATTTCTCATGCCTCTGGCTGATCTCCAATGACAGGTAGCATTTGTACACTGTCTGATAGTCCACTTTCTTGTGTGTAAATCCCTCAAGGACTCGGGGGAAACTTTACAGGTCTGGGACCGTGGTGTCCAACACTGGGAGCCCAGGGAACAGGTCTGTGGCCTGGACGCGCGGATGTTGGCTTCGACTGGATTCATGCTCTGAGTGGAGCTGGAACAAAAATGTCACTCGGGGAGTTTCAGTTCCTATTGCCTCCCCCTGGTTGGCACGGATTGATGGTCACTTCTCTCTACTGCCTGGAGATGATTAGAAAGTGGGACTGTTTTCTTGGCCATCGTTGGAGCGGATTCATGAAATCTTACGAGAAAATTGAGAAACAGGCCCATAAATACAATAGTCCCATTTATTAGGCAACTCGCAAAAAAGCCCCAAATAGCACTGAAAGATCATATCGTGTGACCACAATATAATAACATTAGAAATAACTGGGGGGCTTCTGGGTGGCTCAGTGGGTTAAGCGTCCAACTCTGGCTCAGGTCATGATCTCGCGGTCCGTGAGTTCAAACCCTGCGTTGGGCTCTGTGCTGACAGCTCGGAGCCTGGAGCCTGTTTCAGAATCTGTGTCTCCCTCTCTCTGACCCTCCCCTGTTCATGCTCTGTCTCTCTCTCTCTGTCTCAAGAATAAATAAACGTTAAAAAAATTTTTAAAAAATAGTCTCAAGGTCCTCATA